TTTGGGAGGTGCATTCGGTATTTGAGGCGTGTTTTTAAGTTTTACTGTATGCGTTGAATTTTGTTGTGTAGAAATGGTTTGGAAATGAAATAAAAATATGTGCAGGCTGTAGCTGTTGTTTGATATAGTAACATAGACATGTGGTTGGATTGTTGGAAGCTGTTTAGAGTAAATGTTTTTGACACCCAAGGTCTGAAGTTCCTTTTTTTTGCTACTTTGAGTAACTCTTTAACCTTGATTGAACTTAGTTCCATATTTTAGCAGAACACGAAAGAATTTGTATTATGGAACCTGGGATTATACAAGGAAGCAAGGAACTGAAATGTTTAATATATTTTTATTATGTTTATCATTTAAATTTAAAAGTAACCATTTGCTTTGAATCCTTTGATACATGCTGAATGTTCTATGAGCAATCACTTTGTGAGGCACAGCCTGGGAACATAAAAGCACTCGTAGCAGCAAAGTGAAACTTCATTTTGGTTTTCATTTTTTTAAATGATATCAAGGGTTTTCTGGAAGCAATAAAAGTATGTCACCTGTGATGGTCTCAGGGTGTCCTAACAATGTATCCATTTGAGTCTAGTATCTTAGAAGAATTATTGCTGCAGAGTATGCCAAGCTTTTACTTTTGAGATAGGTTTTTGATGGAGTATACAAGCTCTTGCAACTATTTGGCTTGGACAGCGGGCCACATATGCCCGATAGCTAGAATTTGCATCATTGTACACTCAAATATTCATGGCCATTAGGTTAGCCTTTGACCTAGTTGGGCCTGGGCCTACTAGGTCCAACCTAGTAGCCCGCCCCATATTTTTCCTATTAATACTCACTTGGGAGCCATGTACAAGGAAGATCTCATACACAAAACGTAATACTACGCCACACTATTCATCATCCTCTTATTAGCTCATTATCTCTCTTAACTGTATGTTTGGATACTCTAATATCCATCAGCTTCCTTTATTACTTCACTACATGAAACCTTAGGCTGAAATTTTTGTGCATTATGGATGGAAATTCTAGCCAAGTGGAAAAGACATTTGCGTTGTGGCCATTTTAAATAAACAATCTGCCCACAGTAGCTGTAATTAAACAGTCACTCTGTACATGTGAAGGGACAATCAGTATAGAGTAACAGCTTGGTGTAGACAATTGTCGGCAACACGATCATAGGAACAAGTGAAGACTCCTATGGCTTCTGCTAGACTGATATAATTCCTATTCATGAATTATTATTTCAAGCTGGGAATTATTTGAAAGTTGTACAAATTCTAAATTACCATGTACTCCATATAAGTTTGTTACTGTTGTATGGTCTGTGAGTAACTGTTTAGATGACATGCTATTAATGTGAATTTGGCAATCTATGTGTGAATTTTTTCATTATATTGATGTGTCAAATGTTAGTTCAGATTTAAGTTCCAGTGTAATATATAAGCATTTATTCTCTTCTTGATGACTATTTCAACTTTAGGACTTTATTTTAGCCGTTCTATGTGATATTTTGCTTGCACAGATTTGCTTTCCTTTTGTCTCTGTTTTAGGGTTTTCTTTAACAATTAGCTACATTATTCGCTATTTTAGTGGTATATTTTTAAATGTTGTATCAATACTAGTATATTTTTGTGTGTTGTGGTTTTTTTTTCAGTCACCAAGATTAAAAAGCGGTTGTTGTGTATATGTCTGTGTGTATATCTATGCATATGTGTATTATATATATGTTCCTCGAAGCGTCCTAAAGGCCTCTTTACATTTTCTGTTGTGAAGCGTCAATATGTGGTGTATCCTCCAGAAGGACCTCCACCTCCATCCCCAGAGGAACTCAGAGAAATGGTACGAGAAGTGGTTAGCAAAAGAGAGAGAAACAACGAAAACTAAGGATGTTGTTTCCGAGTGTGTGTACATAACAGGATTGGGATTATTACGACCGGCACCAAAGAAAATCAGTTGTTTTACCCAATGCAACAGTAAGAAAAAAGAGTGTTTGTGAGCTACATGTATTAATGTATCATCGACCAACAACAAACTACATTGATTTGATAAAGGCGGGATGGATCAAAGTCTCGGTTCATTTTACATCTTTCTGAGGTTGACTTGACTTCTTTAATGGCATGTTGTCTTTTGTTGTTCCCAGAATCCCAGTTGCATACTTTAATGGATGTATCTGTCTACCCTAGTTGCAATAATGTGCAATTTTTGCCATCGTGCTTTTTAGTTACATTTGCTACTCTTCTTTTGGACTTTTTTAGGAAAATTATCAAGAGCTAAGAAAACAAATTTAAAGAGTCTCATTGTGGTCTATTGGCTTAAGAGCCTGTTTGGTAACATTGGATTGGCTGAATTGTTTGATTCTGTTGAAATTGATGAAGTGGTTGAATTGGTTGTATATGTTGAATTATGAAAAAATTATATTTAAAATATATTTTATTAATAAAATTAAGAAAATATTATATGAATGATTTACCCGATAAAAATCTGGTTTCACGATCAAGTCTTGCATGACATTTATTTTCCTTTTTTCTTTTTCCCTTTCTTTTTTTTTTAACTTTTTTTTTCTCTTCCCACTTTCTTCTTCCCAGGCTCCCAGCATCTAGTTCAGCGTCTTCAGCTTCTCTAAAAATCGAAGTGCACATTCCTGTTGTCTGTGACCCGTATCAAGTGAAGCTATGCATGGACCCGGGTCGGGCCTGGACCGGGCCCAGGCCGGTAGGCCCGGTCGGGCTTTTGAGGAATGGGGGAAGGCCCGGAACCGGCCCGGGTTGCCACCGGGTACGGGCCGGGCCTCAGGCTACCTAGTTTTTTTTGGCTTTTCTACTTAACCCCCGACCCCCCCCCCTCACCCCCACCCCCACCCCAAAACACCCAGCCTCAACCCAGAATAAACAAAATAAAATTGAAAAAACAAACAAAAAAAATCGGGCCCAGCCCGACTGAGCCGGTTCGTCTTTTGGGTCACCCGAGCCCGCACCGTAAAGCCCCCGGGCCGGGCCTACCCGGATCAATCCCTGGCCGGGCCACCGGTTTGGGCCGGTTCCAAATTGTGTCGGGCCAGGCTGGTTTCGGGTCGGGCCACCCGGCCCGAGTCCATGCCTAAGTGAAGCCGACCTCATCTAGTCGTTTTTGCACTCTGCTATTATCGCTAACTCTGTATCCCCGTTGTGTTGTCAATGAAGGGCACCTTGCTCCTACGACACTACCACTGCGGATCCATCGACACAAGGAGGCCGTAACCCATTTGGTCATGAACGCAATTGCAGATTTCGAATCATCCTCCATTATTTAGATTGTCCTCGATGACATTATCTTACATGGCATCGGCACATGTGTCTGTGTGTGGTGGCTATCGGTTGAACGATGACGTTGGGCAGTGAAGTCTGGTGGTCATGTGGTGGGCGACAGTGACAGTGGGAAGAAAGTGAACAAGCAATCGTAGAAGAAAGAAAGAGGGGATCGAAAAAGAAAAGAAAGAACGACAGAAAAGAAAGCGAAAAAGAAAAAAGAAAAAATGTCACACGAGCCACCACATAGGCAGATAGGTTGTTAATCGGGAAACTGAATTTTTACAAGGTAAACTGCTCAATTGAAAGTTTTTTAAGAGTTTGGGGTTCGTTAGATGTTTTTAAAGTACGAGACTTAATTGACTTTGCACACATAGTAAGAGGGCGTATATGATACTCTTTCGAAGTAAATAATAATTTTAACCATCATTCCCAACTTTGCCCTTCCACTTCTTCCTTTGCCTTAACTGACCTCTACAAATTTTACCTCACTCTCTTCTATTTTCCGTCTCATTTGCAACTAGGGCTGGACTCGGGCCGGTTCGGGCCTGGGCCCGGCCGGGCCTCGGGCCAGGAAAGGGAGGCCCGAGCCCGAACCGCCGGTGGCCGGTTCCGGTCCCGGTTCCGGGCCAAACCGGGCCGGGCCGGGCCGGGCCGAACCGGCCCAATAATTTTTTTTTTGTTCTCCTATTTAATCCCCTACCCCCCCCCCCCCCCCAGCAGCCGGGCCGGGCCGAACCGAACCGAACCGAGGGACCCCCCGGGCCGGGCCGGGCCAAACAGTAACCGGGCCGGGCCGCCCGGCCCGAGTCCAGCACTATTTGCAACCCTCTCATTATCTTTAACCTCTCAATTTCTTTTGAAATTAAATTAAAGACTAGTCAATTGTACCTCAATTTTGGGTAGATTCATTAATCAACGAAGCAAAGTTCATGAGCCTTTTGGTAATTTTTATGCCTGAAGTTGGTGAAATTCTGCTAAATTATAAAAGCATTATATTTAAAGTATATTTTATTAATAAATAAAAAAAAACTTAGATGAAATTAGCTTAAATAGTTAGGTTCAGTGATTTTTGCCAATTTGACAAAAAAGTTGCTCAAATCTTACTTATTTTGATTGCAACGCAAATTGAAATCAAAATTTATGTGTTTGACAAACAGTTGAATGATAAGGCGGAAACATGTGCTGCCAAGCGGCTCCAAATCTTTTTAAATACATGGTAGGTTTTAATTCCATTTCCATTTCTGAATTGTTGTTTCTTTTCACTGAAAATGGTCTCGGGTTTCTTCAAGGAAAAGGTATTGTGGTTGAACCTTTGGAAATCAAATGATTGATAAAAAACGAGGGACTTGCTAAAATATTATAGACATTTTAAGTAGTGAATAGTGCATTCGAGTAAGGGCATATAGGGTATTTTGACAGCCTTCCTTAATCTTTGAACTAAAAAAGAATGAGACTCACTTTGGGATGGAGAGAGGAAGAGCTATAAAAATTAAAAAACCGGTCTCAACAGTTACCTAAACTGGTAAAAAGTATGTACCAAAATCCGAGCTGGGTTTTCTAAATTCCTGATCACTGGATTGGGATGACCTATCTATACAGCCGATGCAAATTGAACAAAATGCTTGGTAGCAATGTGAAAATATTTATATTTGCTCTGGATGGCTGCATCCCCCCCCCCCCCCCAATGTGGATTGAAAATTAAGCACTAGATGCCCGCTAAAATGGAATTACATTCAGGCGCATTACATTCATATCAGGTATATGCGCGAAAAAACTCATAAAATATAAGAATCCTTTCAGATGAATGAGATCTAGAGCCCGTTTGGTGATACCGAAATTGGACGAATCGGCTTATTTTGCTGAAATTTATGAAGTTCTGACTGAAGTAACTGGATTAGTTGATTCTTCCGATTTATAAAAAAAATTATATTTGCAATATATTTTATTAATAAAATAAAGAAAAAATTATATGGAAAAATAGCCAAAATGGTCCTCTATAGTAAATTCAGCCAATACAGCTAGAAAAGTAACTCAAACATTACTTTTTCTTATTATTACACAATTCAATGCACGAAATCAAAAGTGGTGTGTTTGGTGAAAAAGTTGGCCCATAAGCCCGATTAAGCCGAAAAACTGGGTCACCAAACGGGCTCCTAGTGTAGAGAGGACTTAAATTTCAAGCTACCTGCCACTTGAAAAATACAAAACATTCTAATTCTCTTGTTATGATTTACACTTGCTTTATCTTATGTACGGAGTATTATTCATGGAGTAAAGCACAAGTGAAACTAACTGGGAGTAACAAAATGGGTCTTGGTATCACACCAGCAAAACAGAGGAGATATTAGAAGTTACATGCCCCAAATACCTCGAGCTAGTGTGGCTTTGCCTGGCCGTGATGTTAGCTCACAGAGTATCCTTGCAAATATATCAGAATGCTTTCCATCAGCAAAGAGAATCTCAGTGAAAGCGGTTTCAAAGACGAGCAGAAGGGGCTTGTTTTGGGGCTCTGCCACTAGGCTCTCCAGAATTGAGGCTGCCTTCCTGCAAACTTCTGATACTGGGTGTGGTGACTTTATGACTTTCAATAACCTATCAATTGCCCTTTTAAAATGTTCCAAAGAATCATATGTGAGTAACAGCTATGCTCAAAATGTGGATATAAAGCTCTAATAGTTTACAGGAAAATTCTTTCCTGGAAAAATATTCTGATTTTCCTTTATTTGGCAAGGAAAACTTTATTTTCAAGATAGTAAGTATTTTACTGCACAAGGCCCCAGAAATTTGTTTGTTTTTCCGATTTCGGAAACGGATATTATTTTCCTGAGACTGTTATATAGTACTACCTTCGCCCCGAAAAGAAGTTCCCACTTTCCTTTTATGGATGTCCCAAAAAGAAGTTTTCATTTCTACAAAAGGAAACCACTTTTTTAACCCAAAAGTCACAACTATCCTTACTTTTAATCCACTTTTTGCTTGATTTGGCATAAAACAAGGGCATACTTAGAACGCCAAAACAAAACTCTACCTTACATAAATATGTGTGTAGGTCATAGGAACTTCATTTCGGGATGGAGGGAGTAGTATTTTCTATTTTGTAGATAAAAAATTGAACAAGTTATATGCATAGAACAGTTTGGTATATCAGCAAGTTATGCATAGAACAATTTAATTCATAGGAAAACATTTTTCATAACGATTTTTTTCTGGAAACAGATGCAGCCTCAATACTTGCAAGTTAACAATAATTTCATCTTACCATCGTTCACTAGCAAGTTTCAGTCTGCAGTCCATATTTACTTCCACAAGGTTGTACAATGCACCCACAGCAGCAGCTTGAGCATCGTTCGCAGGAAGGCTCATGATATCGACCAACCTTTTATATATCTGCACATCTTCATCAGTTCATCATTCTTGTTCATATAGTTGTGTTTGCTAAGTGGTGATCTTTCACAATTTAAATCAAACCAAAAAAATGAGCAACCTGTAAAGCAAAAGGAAGAAAGAATGGTTCATTATCGGGATTTAAAATCAGACGACCAATCAATTCTGCAGCCCCACAATGCCAGGCTTTGAGAGAAGATCCCAGCATTCCCATGATAGCCTGGACAGCACGGTTCTCTCTGCATCATAAAACCCACCAGTCAAATGGATTTATACTCCTTCCATCCCCAAATTAGCTTCTCTCTTGCCTTTTCGTCCGTTTAAAAAAAATATGTTCACAATTTTGTTCGGGAAAGAATTGCATGGTTGTTATTTTCTTTCTTTCCAAGTAAACCGGAAACACACATTATTATTATTATTATTTTTATTTAATGAGCGTGACAAACATAGAAGAGAAGCATATTTGGAGACGGGTTTAGTACATTACAGCGAATATCAGAAAATAAGAAACAAAAAAATGTGCACCTCATGTTAAGTACAGAAGGTTTTGATGAACTAAATATTCGAAGATCTAGCAAATGGGACAAATTAACAATAGTTTCAAGCACATTCGTCACAAGCTCCTCATCCTCTGCAAATATATTATAAATTTGACATAAACATTGAAATTATATCAGAGTAATTATAGAAAAAAACCACTTTTGCTCCTACGAATACTATAACAATATTATATCAAGTCTATGACTTTGATTTTTCCCATCCGGTACATGACTATTGCTTTTGAGAATACTATAATACTTGTATGACAAAAAGTGGAACTCTTTCTACTATTATTGGCCATATCAAACCATAAATCATAAGATAAGCCACAGGAAAAACAAGTACAATGGCTCTACTTGTGCTCTTAAGCCTCACCTACAACATAGTCCTCAAGACAAATAAATAGGGTTTCCACACAATGTCGATGCTGAGCCATGATAGTTTCATTATCTGCCATGAAAGAGAAATTGCGAATAATATTAGAGGCCACAACAGCACATTGTTGCTTTTCAGCTCTCCCTTCCTCATCCAAACTGAACAGGCCTTCTTCTTCAAACCACCAACCAGAACGATGAGAAGTCTTTTTAATAGATGTCTCTTTGATAGAAGATCCAGATCCAGTTGCAGAGCTACAATTATAGTACCAGCTGAATCAGATGGCTACTTCTGAAGTTACTTATTATATTAAAAATTATACTCCCTCCGGTTCTAAATAAACTTCACACTTTTCTTTTTGGGACGGTCCAAAATAAACTTCACACTTCCTTATTTCCTTATTTGGCAAAGAAATCTACATCAAAACAGTGTTAAACAGTGCTAAACAGAGCCAAACAGTGTCTCAACAGTGCCAAACAGTGTCTCAACAGTGTCTCAACAGTGTACTCTACAGTAAAGTCAACTTTATTTCCTTAATAACTGTGAAGTCAAACACTGAAGTTTAAAAAGAACCAGAGGGAGTAATTTTTAAGAAGTGAAACGATAATGCAAAATTTACCTTTGAATGGAAACTAAATTATTTTGCCCCAAAGCATCATTTTTATTTCCGAATCCAGTAACAAGAGAATTTGCACCCAAGAGTCTCACCCTAGGTTCTTTCACATGCACCCTTGGTAAGGCTATATCACGCCAGTCATCTATCTGAAATTATTGTTGCATTCATCATTATGCTCAGCAGGGTCGTCTAATAAACTTGGAGGCCCCAGTTCCAAATATAAAATTGAGGCCCTGTTTGATTTTAATTATTATTATTATTATTATTATTAATTGTAATACTATCTAATATAAGTTATATAACTATATTATAAGAAATGATTTGGTCAGGCGCGATGTAGATTATGTCAATAAAATATCAACTTCAAATTTTGCTAAAGTGTATGCACGGTGTTTTTCAATAATTTATTTTATTGACTTCCCAATTGAATTTTAAACTGAAATTTTGTGTACATAATCTAAACTTCATGAAGAACATTCTTGAACAACCCGTGAATTTTCGTTTTATGAACAAGGTTTTAAAAAACAAATCGACCCAAAAGCTCCTCAAACAGGCTTGCATGTACAGGACAGATCATTTCTCACTAGATTATAATACTACTATTAAAAAATTTGGGGCCACCAAAATTGGTGGGCCATGTTCTAGATGACCAGTTGAGCTTGTTAAAAACGGCCCTGATGCTCACACATACAAACCCCCTCACTTTGGGTGGGTGGGTGGGGGGTAATTCTTCACTGCACACTGTTTTAATATTAAAAACTTACGACTTGAAGTAAAGCGTCGAGCAACCCGGGAATTTTCGAAAGAGGGGTAGCATCTCTGCGAACTTCATCTTTTTCTTTGAATGACAGCAATGTGAGAGTATTGAATGCCCATGTCAGCTCACTTTTCAACCCGCTTTGAAGAGCAAGAACAATCCTTTTGTAATTCAGCTCTAGTAAAATAAGTGTTCAGAAACACAGGTAAATTAATGAACCCAAACAAGGAATGGAACACCAATCGTTCACAACAGGTGGTAGAAGGTCATCTTATTTTTCATATAGTACACATTTGAAAATATGTTTCATCACAAAGTTGCATTGTAAAGGAGATGCACTAAAGTCTGTATTTAAAAACATTATCAAACGAAATGTTGTCTCAATGACAGATTTGCATTGAACCTCAAGTCCCTCAGAAAGCGAAACTTATTCATAACTATAAACTTAACCTATTAAGCTGAACTATTTTAATCCAATCCCTATTTTCCATGAAAGGTTACTGAACTAGGATTTAATCTAAAACTGTCCTAGCATAATTCACCTAACAAAGTCAACAATGTGATTCCAATTATACGACCAACGACGCTGCAATTGAGTATATATGTACATGAGATAAATTAAGGATCCAATCGCACTAACCAGTGAAGAGGGGGTGTACTTGTAGGGAGGGACCAGCGAGTGTTGGAGCTGCAGCTGAATCAGTGGCTGCAGCTGCGGCAGCGGCTGCAGCGGCCGCTGCCGCAGCAACTTGGTTGCTTCCACTTCCGACTGGGCGTCCTCTCTTCGCCGGTGTGGGGGCGGTGCCCGACCCTGAGCTTTGTTTGCCTTGCTCTCTTTTCTGCATTTCCTCTCTCGATCTCTTGCCCGTTATGCCCCTCGTAGTGTAAGATAAACAAATACTCCGTACGTAGTAAGATAGTACTCCGTGTGTAAAAAAAAAAGACGAAGTGGGTAAGATACTTTAATAGATAAAAAAGAGACATTTTTTCATAGGGGTGTATTGTATTAGACTAGAGTTTTTGACACTTTTGGTCCCTCAACTATTATGTTAGTGACACTTTTAAAATTTATTTCAACTGTTTTTCATTTAAAAATGACATTTTCTCATGTGACGTTTCGTGTTTCAAGTTCCAGCAATTTTATACTTACAGTAGTTGTTCTTTCAGGTGAACCTAACTGCCTAGGAGGAATTTAGTCATGCTAACTTTGATTTTGGCTCTTAGATCACTTCAAGTATGGAATAGTTGAAGGGCTGAAGGGCTTGAAGGGCTGAAATAAAAAAGTATATGAATATGTTCTTACCACAAATAAAAAATGGATTTGTTGGCTTGAAGGGCTGAAATATACTGTTATTTTATATTAAAATATTTTATCAAAATATTCTGATGACTTTTACGACGGCGGTTTGCAGCGGCTGAGCAAGTGTGGGGGCGGGGAACTAGGGCAGCGGTTTGCACCGGCTTGTATTACAAATCTATTAAAATCTATTGAAATCCATATGATTCCATGAAATAAAATTCCATAGAATTCCATATGAATCTCATGGAATCTGTAGAATTCATTTAAAATGCATAGAATCTACAATCATTTAAAATCCTTTAAAATCGCAGTTGAGGACACCCCCCTTAGGTACCTGGATCTGAATGATTGATAATTATTCAGCTTGCAGACAATTTAGGCAGGTGGTCATTACCCTTTGACAATGCACTTCGGTGAAGACTACCCACTCAAACCGCCAAAGTGCAAATTCCCCGTAGGATTCTTCCACCCGAACATCTATCCTTTTGGCACAGTTTTCCTATGTGTCCTCGATGAAGAGACTGTATGTACATTGCTTGCTTGTTCTGCATGATCTAATTCAAACTTGGAGTCCTTTTTTTCTTTTCCAAAAAAGTAGTGATTGTAAGTTTTACTATACCCTCCAGTGTCGGATTACAGTACGTGAAGCAAATTCTGGTTGGCATCCAGGATTTGTTAGATGAGACAAAAACACCGCAACCTGGGATTGTTCAAATTGAAGTAAATCGTCTCTATATTCAGGTAAGTGGGTTGTGGGATTGTGGGAACAAACTCGAATACAAAAGCAGTTCCTCTTGCTGGGATCTGCGGCGAACTCTGGCTGAGGGCAAAATTTCTGGCGAGGGCGGCTCCTGTCCAGGGCTTTGGCAATCCGCCCCTTTTGTTTTAGGTTCGAATCGAGAAGCAAAATTGAGCCCGTTCAGGCAGCTTCTTCCTTCGTACTGAAGGTCCCAAGCCAAACACGGCTGACCGGCTGTTCTGCTTGGATTTCCGGCGAACTGCAACAATAACTCAGGTGACAGCTGCTTGTCTCCTCATGCCAAAGGAAAGAAAGAAAGAGCAATAGAAAAAGAAAAAGAAAAACAAAGACAAAGAGAAAGAGGAGTGATCATCGGGCATTGATGGGAAGATGGAGGAAGTCTGGGAGGATGGGGGACCAAAAGAGAAAGAGAAAAGAAAAAAAAAAATAGGACTAATTGAAAATTCCAAAATAGGACTGCCATGTTTTTTATTCCCAAAATAGGAGTAATTACTGTCAAGTTTGGAAAATACTGCCATGTTTGAAGTCTGGTACTGCCAAAACATGACAGTAATTAGTATTATTTTAGAAATAAAAACATGACAGTTCTATTTTGGAATTTTCAAACATTTTTTGTCCTATTTTGGGTAATATCTCTTTTTATAGAGTTTAATTGACTATGTTATACAGTAACATTTTCTGAATAAATTATGGACTGCATATGTCGCCTGATGCCTTCCCCCATCTAATATGAAAGAGAAAAAATGTTATGTGGCTAGCTACGTGTGCAACTAACCGAAAAACCAGTTCTATACGACTATACCTGCTAAAAAGCCTAATTAGAAGTTTTTGAATAAGGAAAAATTGATAGAAATAATCCCAACTATTAGCGGTCCGCTCATAATAATCCTAACTATTGATTATTTCAGAATAATCAAAACTTTAGGAACCTTTCGCCAATAATGGTCCCTATGAATAAATTCTTGTAGTTTCTAAAGTGGATGAGATGAGATATAACAAGTAATCCCTATAAATAATCTCAACTTTTAATTTTTACGCTTAATTTCTATTTAAAATTCACTGTTTATAGAGGTAATGTCTGGTCATGGACCATTATTGGCGAATAGTCTATATAGTTGAGATTATACAAAAATAATCAATAGATGAGATTATTTTTAGCGGACCGGCAATAGTTGAGATTATTATTTTCAATTTTTCCTTTGAATAATTTGAGGATCTAATTGAGTATTTATAAAATACTCCCTCCGTCCTATTTTACCTGTCCTAGTTTCTTTTTTGGGTTGTCCCAAAATAAGTGTCTCTTTTCTTTTTTGAAAAGAAATACTACCTCCGTCCCATATTTATCTTCATAGTTCGGTTTACGATGCTTGACTGACGATAAAGCAACTCGATCCCTGTGCACACTCGGAATATTTTTAGTATATAAAATTTACATATTCAGAAACTACATTAAAACCGCTACAAAGCCTGATCAAGAAAATTTAAGTTTGATAAAAATTTGATATATAAAGTAAAAGATTAAGAGTAATTTGAGTTGACCATGTGAATAGTAACTATGAAGATAATTTTGGGACGGAGGGAGTATGTGGTATTCAGCATTTAACTTTATTATACTCTACAACTTTTACTTTTTCCACCAAAACAGCGTATGGGCTGATGCCTCCTTCCCCCATCTAATTTAGAGAGCTGTTCGTATCGTCGTCGCCTAGGTGGCGCCTTTGCTGCGGAAGAGTAAAATCCCCTGGAGTGTGTCCGCCTGCGGCTTTTGTATGCGTACATATTATATCACTTTTATTCGTCAAAGGGCAACTGCATTATGTAAGAATTTTAAACCTTTTTCTCATTGTATGTTATAGGGAGTACAACTTTAGTTCCATTTCTTCTTTCCTTTCCATTTTTTAATGTTTGAAATTTCGGTTATTGTTGCTTATTCTGATTATTGGAGTATTTCCTGAGCAGGGTAGCTGTGAATTTGAAACCTAGGGTTCCTGAAGACATTGATGGGGTTACACTTGATCCACAACCCGATTGGAGCTTTGATGCTCTGTTACTGGAGCTCAGTTCAATTGAAAGGAAGGTTGCTGCATCTCCAAAGTTTCCGGCATATACCAAGATATGTTCTCGGTCTGTATCTCTTTAATTCTCTATCATGAATCAGTGGGTGGCTATTATATAACTGTATCGATTAGCCATTTGATATTTTGATGTATATATTGCTTTGCTTTCTGATATTTATAGGGATCGTTCTGCTTCAAAGAGGGGTGCTCTGCGGCAGGGTTTTGTTATGCGGGTGACAGAGACATTAAGTGATTGTGAAGATGAGGTATCTGAACAATCTGTCACTCCAGGCATGCATATTACTTGTGATGACCTTTATGCAAGGTATCTAGATGCTGATTGTGTCGGATCATGTAATCAATAATGAGAAACATCATGCATATTACATTTAAAAAATTCATAGGAGAAATGTAAGGCTCATTGTCCGAAGGAATGACTGAGATACATAAGGCACACCTACAATATGATATTTAATTATTCATGCTTGTGATCCTTTTAACAGTCTCTGGCGTTTCATAATTCTGAGGCTGTTTGTCTTCTAAAATCTGAATAGAGTTACTATAAATTACTACTATTACTCTAATACTATTGAGTTTGAACTACTTTGTTCATTGTTTGATTGTTGTTTGTTCTCAACTCTCTCAAACTGAAAACATTGCGTATTTCAGTGATGGTCAAATATCTGAAGACGAGGCATCTATTGAAGTAGATCAGCATCTAATGGAAAAAGTTGGGTTGGTGGAAGGCGCTTTGTCTGAGCTAACTTATGAGCATCGTCTTAACGTTATGGTTGGTGAATTTATTAATTGTATAATTGTTTTCTATTTCCTCCATTTTGTAAAAGCTTTGGGGTTTTACAACAGAGAATAAGTGTTCTATTCCCAAAGTAATCCATTTTTCTCTTAAATGAAAACAGTTTCTCTTGACAATCAGGTGGTTTGTGAAATGCATACAGCATATACTCTGTTTTGCAGACTACTGCTTTTATCTATATGTGTATGAACATGTTCCTTTTTATTAACAGGAAAATGTGAGAAACAAAATATCAGAACTGGAAACAGCTCTGTTGGATGAGCACCATATATTTTCATCTAAGCTCCAATTTGTTGCGAAGGATTCTGAAGCACTATCGGAAATGGATCGAAGGCTTGGCCTGCAGTATCAGCGCAAAATGTAAGGTTCTACTCCTAATAAATCATGAATGATAGCATGTAAAGTAAATGCATTTCAAGCATATTCAGAAAATGAGCTGTCGTTTGTTATAATTCAAACAGTCAATCACATGATGCTCTAAATGACTTTCATTCATCATCATCATTCATCAACATCATTACGTCAGTGCCGCAAAGGCTCCCACCTATGGTGGGGTAAGGGGGGGTCGGATGTACGCAGTCTTACCCCTGTACTAAACCGTACTAAACCACATGGAGATTGTTTCCGGATGACCCATAGTGAAAATCGCGTCCAAAATTGCATGGACCGACTGCTGCTTCATAACAAAGAAGCACAGATAGTTTAGTGAGCCATTTTGCTCTATTCCATAATATTCTCAAGCCAAAAAATAGTGAATCTTTGGGTCCATTACAAAAGATGGAAAATCTAAATGACTTTCATTATTTGGTTATATTTTGATACATGATGCTTGTAAACTCTTAGAGGGTAGTTTATATCCTCTTCAGATACACTTCAAAAGCCTCTAGGAAACTCTAAAGAAAAATTTATTTCAACTGTTTTTCATTTAAAAATGACATTTTCTCATGTGACGTTTCGTGTTTCAAGTTCCAGCAATTTTATACTTACAGTAGTTGTTCTTTCAGGTGAACCTAACTGCCTAGGAGGAATTTAGTCATGCTAACTTTGATTTTGGCTCTTAGATCACTTCAATGGTTCAGATTCATTTGCTTATTTGTATAAAACTATGAACTATTAGTCTCACAGTTGAATCTTTAGTTTATTCTAAGGTAAATCTTAGAAATGCAGTTTGTCTCGTTTAAAATTTGTCTAATAGGTAAGATTATTTCATGATTTCACCTTTAAAAATGTAGTTATCTTCAGTAAATTTGAATTGATGGCATGATCTGATGGTTGGTTTCCTTAATTTATATCAATGAGTGACAAAGTCTGAATTGTTTAATTAACTTTTGGTCAAGACCAAAACTAGCCTTATGGGAACTTGGTCATGCGTGTCTGTCTCCGTGTCCATCTCTGTCTCCCTGCTTCTCTATAAAACTATATATATAGTTATAAATAATTATATACGTACACAATACACAAATACATACATACATATATATATATATATATATATATACATCAGTAACTATTTTTATTTATCTTATTCCTTCTGTCTTTTCTAGCATGTTAGTGCTCTAATATGATCTAGGTAGTCTTGACTTTTATTGAATTACGGTAGTGCAGAAGCGCTTGATGATCACTTGATATCTGTACAAAGGGATCATGAACATAGATCCCAACTTGAAGAAAGGAGAATAAGAGATGATGCAGCTCGTGAAGAGGCTAAAAGAAGAGAGAAGGGTTTTCTGGAAGAGAAAGCCATGCTAGAAAAAATTAGAACAGAGCCAGAGGTTAGTTTTTGTTTCACTCAATGTCTTCATTTCCTTATATATATGCATATGCATATGCATTTGCATTTGCATTTACATTTGCATTTGCATTTGCATAGCATATGTATAAATATATATACTCCCTCCGTATTTTAAAGTTTGCTACACTTTCCTTTTTTGGATGTATACAAAAGTTTGCTACATTTTCCTTTTTTGTTAAGTTTTTTCCTTTAAAAATACTCAATTACTCTTACTTTTTCTACTTTTTATCTTCTCTTTCATACTTTTACACCTTCTCTCCTATTATTTCTCCCTTAAATGTTGTGCCCAAACCTAATGTAGAGAACTTCAAAATACGGAGGGAGTAATATACAATTTGGAAATGTATTTGTAATTTTGTATATGAAATCCTTCAATGTTTGTCTCTTGTATGCTTTCCCAAAATCTTAAGTTAATTCTTATATTTATTGTTTTAATTGTCATAATGTATTACTTTGTTTTCAATGTATCCATTATACACACAAGCATATGCAGCTTGGCTTAAATAAGTTGATTTTTTGAGAAAAATCTGATCTTATTGTCTTGATTCTTAATCTGAGAAGTGGAAGGATGAGATTATTTTTAAAAGATGATATGTGGGGAAATTGTAATGTAAAACCCGGTGTCATTTTAGTTAAATAACTTAAACCCTAAACCTTAAACCCTAAATTCAAAATATTGAGTGGGACAGAGGTAACATGTAGTAGCGCAGTATTATGTATATAA